TACACTCTTAAAAATAAAGGTTCTTCGTTGGCATTGATGGTTCCATTAATAACCTTAAACATCCATAGAACCTTACCATTCCACAAAAGGCTCTTTATAGTGGAAAAATGGTCTTTAGATGATTAAAATGTTCTTCACACTAAGAAAATAATGGTTCTTTTAAAGGATTAGTTGACTGCCAGAATAAAAATGTCCTTATAGTTTACTCATCCCCATGTCATCAAGATGTTCATGTCTTTCTTTCTTCAGCCAAAAAGAAATTAAGATTTTTGAGGAAAACATTCCAGGATTTTTCTCCATATAGTGGACTTCTTTTGGGATCAGTAGATTGAAGGTCCAAATTTCAGTTTCATTGCAGCTTCAAAGGGCTCTACACGATCCCAGCCGAAGAATAAAGGTCATTGCACACTGAGTCCGAAAACTTCGTCCGAAATTTCCGCATGTTAAAAAATAAATACGACCGCACGTTATGTCAATCACGTTTACACACTGCCTCCCAAATTTTCGTCCGTCATAAAAAAATTCGTATCGGGTTCGATTTTTTCCATTTTTTGCATCCGTAGCAAGCATTTTGAGAGGTGTTTTGACAGTTCAGAGCCACCGTACAAGCGAACGCCAAAATCCAGAATGGCGATTGTCAAGTTCATCCACTTCGTCTCACAGCACAAAGCACTGTAAAGATCCTTGCCTACTGAGTTCACAGAAATTGGTGGTCTTCTTTTTAATATGTGGCTCTAGTATCACTAGCAAAGCATCAAACTGAGCCACTGACATCCTGAAGTAAACTTTGAATCGCCCGTGATAATCCCGCTGCTCCTGAGGGGGAACTCTCCTTCCTCTCTATATCTCAGTATTGGATGGACCCAATATTTCCTCTCTTTTTCTCTTTTTAAGAAGCGAGAAGACAACAAAATCATCCTCACTGCTTGAAGACTCCATTTAGTGCTGTTTTGCAAATTTTTTCACAACAGATTAATTAATACGCATCGGACTCAGTGTGCAAGGTTTCTGTGCATGACGAATTTTTAGGATAACGAATATGAAAAAACGCATACGAAAATTTCGGGCTCAGTGTGCAGAGACCTTAAGGGTCTTATCTAGCAAAGCGATCAGTCATTTTCTAAAAAAAAAAAAAATGAAAATGTATATACTTTTAATTTATATATATTTATACTTTTTAATGCTCATCTTGCACTAGCTGGACTTCACGCATTAGGTGATAAGGCACGTGTGATGTAGGCGGAAGTACCGACCCAGTGTTTACAAAGCGAACGTGCAAAGAAAGTCAAACGCCCTTTACAAAAAAGGTAAAACAACATAATTGGACAATTTTGAAGTTTGAGTTTTTCGCCCTACCCTACCTTTTTGAACCGAAGTACACAGGTGAAGAACTAACCATGCATGACCTTTCCAACGTGATTACGTAATGCGTGAAGTCGCACATCGCAGAGCTAGTGCAAGATGAGCATTTGTGGTTAAAGTATAGAAATGTTTATATTTTTTAGAAAATGACTGATTGCTTCTCTAGATAAGTCAGCTGGGACCGTGTAGAGCCTTTTGAAGCTGCATTGAAACTGCAATTTGGACCTTCAACCTGTTGGCTTTCACTGAAGTCCACTATATGGAGAATAGTCCTGGAATGTTTTCCTCAAAAACCTTAATTTCTTTTCTACTGAAGAAAGAAAGACATGAACATCTTGAATAACATGGGGGAGATAAATTATCAGGAATTTTTTGTGTCAGTGAACTAATCCTTTAAAAGAACCAGTATTTTCTTAGTGTGAAGAACATTTTAATCATCTGAAGAACCTTTTTCCACTATAAAGAGCCTTTTGTGGAATGGAAAGGTTCTATGGCTGTTAAAGATTCTTCGTGGAACCATCAATGCCAATAAAGAACCTTTATTTTTAAGAGTGTAGGATATTCAATGAGAAATGTAAGACAGGATTTGACATCTGAATGTGTGAAATTTTTATTGTAGATGTGAAGTAATCCTTTAGGAACTTTTCACTGAAAGTGAGGGAACCAACAATGGTTCTGTTATGGTTCTGTTGAGAATGGTTCTGTTACTTTTCACTGAAAGTGAGGGAACCAACAATGGTTCTGTTATGGCATCACTGTGAAAACTTTTCCAAACCAGACTTGCTTTCTTCTATTGAATGCAAAACATGTTTTTTAAAAATGTTGGTGACCAAACGGCTTTGGTTCCCATTGACTTCCATGTGTTTTTGTCCATACAATAGAAGTCATTGGGAACCGAAACTGTTTGATCACCAACATTCTTCAAATTATCTTATTTAATGTTCACACAAGTCCTACAGACTTGAAACGACATGAGTAAATGATGACATAATTTTCATTTTGGTTGGACTATCGCTTTAATAGGCCTAATTGTTAATATATTTTTCCCACAGTATAAAATTAAAATCGCACTAAATTACCTTGTTAAATTGACAGCCCTACTTAAAACATTTCTTAGCCTCTGCAAACAATTCATCTCTGCCACAGAGAGACACAGGTGCCTGAGCCCCTTGGATCAGAGCCTCCATTTATAGAGACTGCAAGAACCTGCACAAATCGCCTCCAAATTGGGCCATGCGTGACGGATGATCCTGACCCCGTATATATGCCACTGTATTCATCGTGTGGGTGCACTGTTGTGAAACAGCCAATTAGATGCTCCGGAAGCGGCCGGGGAGCGGCGAGAGCGCGAGGGTGGGATGGAAGTCGTCACACGAAAACCTCGTCGTCATTAGCGGAGGAACGAAGCGGCCAGAGCAGTGTCCAGCGTCGTGATCCCAGCTCTCCAGCGTGTTTGAAGGGGCCCGGATCATTATTTGCCATTTAATGTGTTGCTCTCATTTCCTATGGAGCCGATTGGCTGACCTTGCATATATCTAACAGAAATACTGCAGTTGCAGCATGTGACCTCCACCGTGAAGACATTTCCCATTGCTCTTCTCCATAGGCAGCTTTGGGAATCGAGGTGAAATCAGGAAAATGAGCCCCAATTGGTGTAAAAATGGTTGTAAAAATAAAACCTCCATAGAGCCACTGCAAATATCACGAGTAAATCGCTTTGTCGCCACTTTCTTTCTGTGTGTATTGGGGGATAAATGTCAGGAGGTTGTGATATTTATTAATATTCTCCACCGCAGCACGTTAAGGCTCTAAGCGACCCTTTATATTGGCTATAGGACACAATGGCCCTCTAAAGTAAAGATTTTTAAGCCTTGAAATAAAGCAACCAGGTCTGAATGAATCTCATAAAGTCGGCATGTTCGTCTGTTTGATGATTTGTTTTGACAGAAAACACCATTTGAAGGGTTACAACAAACACAAGTGTTTTACAACCACAAATATAATAAGTTATAAAAAAATATACAAGAAGGAATATACAGTTATTGGCACACTTATATAGGTTCATATTACTGGTTCATGAAGTGACCCATTTCTCCCTCTTATCTAGCATAAGGATATATATATATATATATATATATATATATATAGGGAACGTGATAATATGTCGTGGCCACGAGATATCAATTTGAGGGAACGTCATATTAACTTGTGGGAACATGACATTATGTCGTGGCTACAAGATCATTTTGTCGAGGTAACGACATCCTTATGTCGTGGCCTCGAGATGCTATGTTGAGTGAACGACATATTTTTCTTGTGGCCACGAGTTTAATGCGTAAACAAACCTGCTTGACCATAGCAACCTGGGATTACCAGAGATGGATTCATTCATATTTTATTTTGAATTAAGAAATGATTATATTATTTATTATAGAAATTATTACATTATTAAATTATTATATTAACCATAGGCATTGGCTGTACATGTGACTGTACATGCAATAGTCAGCATTCAAATGGAGTTTATCATGAATAAATGTTACATAAAATAGGCCTACAAGAAAACATTTTTATCCATCCTACAGTCTTGTAAGTCCATTAACTGATCGTCTTTTTCCTGTAATATTTGTATATTATTATTATTAGCCTATTATAGTGGTTTTTATATTTGTTTATATTCATTTTTCCCTTCATTTCGATCTCTTTACTTAATGTTCTGAATACTTTTGTAAATATTAGCCGACTGTAAATGCTCGACATGCCAATAAAGCTTTGATTATGCTGACTGGAATTTTTGCGGGAATGCAGTTTAAATTTAACATATATTTCATTTGATTTCGGCTGATTAATAGACCATAATTATAAATACGATAGTGTTTCGTTGAGGAATTAATCATTCACGTAGTTTCATTTGTAAATGAAAACACAACACGCTCATTATCACACATGGGCATAAATGCAATCATAAAGTCAAAACTTTATTGGCATAATTGTTAGGCGTTTATTTGCTAAATATATGGTAGGTTAGCAAATGCTAGCATAATTATACAAAACGTTAACTAGGTAAAGCGATACACAAATTGAAAGGGGAAATAAGCATATACAACAATAAATATAAAAATATAGCTGCTGTGCTGGTTATTGTTGTTCTAAAAAATTTTTGTATAAATATTTTACATTTAAATATTTTTAAATATTTTTTAAATGTTTTTTAATGTAAATTCTGTGTAAATTCAGTAAATACTATGTGATAACTGGAAATTTGGCTTTTAAATGCAAACTTTTTATGAAGTTTATGTATATGCTGTTGTCTAGTTCATGTTTTTTCTGTCTTTTCTACATTATCACTGGAGATATTCAGTAGTATTAATTCTGTTGCTCAGGTGCTTCCCTTACTTGAAACACGTTGCGTATGTTTACATGCATCTAAACAGCATGTCGTTCCACACTGAATCCTGTTTAATAGACGTATCACAGTTCCTCAGAGAGCTGGAGGTGGAACAGGCTGTTTGGATGTATTCACAAAACAACAGGAAGCACATAAAACAAGACGAAATATAGACGCAAACCGTGTACTGTGGGCTTGTTTGTGATTTGTGAGACCTGTTGAAGGATGTTTGTCGATGTTTCCTCCGCAGATTCCTTCTATGATGTGGTCACAGTAGGAGCTCCGGCAGCCCATTCGCAAGGCTTCAAGAACGGAGGCTTGCAGAAACTGCTCAGCAAATACGAATCCGAGAAGAAGAGGTCAGTCTCCACATGTTCACATGTGTCTCTTCTGATTACTTTGCTCTGGTGATGGAGAATGAATTTTTGACAGCTGTATATGAAACCATGAAAGCCTCCGTTTGTGCATCAGACACTCGCCACCATCCTTCTGTAGAGACATAAAATAGAGAAGTTCGCAAAATATGTCATTTCTGTCATTTGCATGGATACGATTTTATACAAGATTAATCTGTCAACATGACACCACCGAGGAGTTTTTTCATTTAATGAGATATTATAAATTCATTCAATCCTTGTCATCCATGTCTAAAACAAAAAATGTATTTTGAAGAATATTATTTTGAGACCACAGACTGTCAAGCTACAAAGCGCTATGAAAACAACATAAATGTGGTACATATTGATGGCGGCGAATCTCAATATCGTGCACTGAGGCAAATGAACGTGTAAATTGATTATTTTGCTGGAGAGAAATAAGCCGTGTGAGCTGTAGCACGTTTAGACGTATTTCTAGGGAACTGTGCGAAGGTTGCATCATTCGGAAGCTGAACTCTAATCCGCACGCACATTTTTATCTTTCTGAAGTTAATGTTGTTAATGTTTTTGCTTTAGGCCTAAATATTTTCCCTCATTAAGACTCTTTAAATTTATCAATCTCTTAATCCAGTCAAATCCAGTTGGTTTCAATGAATGATGGAGGATTTTTTTATTTCATGATTCCCCAAGCTTTGATTCCAGTTGAAAAGCGAGCGCGAACACTGATCCGTGAACCCGACAGAGTCTGGATTTACAGTTTATCCAGGATTTCATGTTCATACGCACACTATCGAAGTAGAGAAAACTTACGGCCATATCCTACACAATTACCAACTTTCAGGAAATAAGAACCACATTCTAGAGGGGAATGGTATATTTATTTATTTATTTATTTCGTTATATTCTGGAATCTGATTGGCTGGGAGCCTTTTCCAGCAGTGCAATATTCTAGTGACAATAGCACCCCAACCATTTTACCGTTTGTATCACTCCGCTTGTCATCAACTGTATAAAAACTGAATAATTTACTCACCCTTAAATTGTTGTTTTTATAGCTTGTTGCTATGTTGTTGCTAGGCTGTTGCAGGATAGAAGAAAATGTTTTGGATGTTTGCATGTGCGTGTTACTGTTAACATGTTGCAATGCGGATTCTAAGGGTGGTGTAGGTGGTTGCTAGAGTGTTGCTAGGTGTTTGTTAAAGGGGTGGTTCATTGCGATTTCACTTTTTTAATGTTAGTTAGTGTTTAATGTTGCTGTTTGAGCATAAACAATATCTGCAAAGTTACGAAGCTAAAAGTTCAATGCAAACGGAGATATCGTCTTTTAAAATTCTGGCAGTTTAATGCCTACAAAAACGGCTGGTAGGGACTACAACAAGTTACTTCCCGGGTTCGTGACGTAACAAACCCAGATAAACCCCGCCCTCGGGAAAAGGCAGCAATGGGGGCGAGGCCATGCTGCGCTGCTTTAGAGAAGAGGAAGAGAAAACTAGAGGTGCACGTAAAAATCTATTCATATATGAATCGCGATTCTGTCTTCTAACAATTCTAATGGATTCACAAGTTTCAAAACCAATGTTCTAAAGCAGCGGTTCTTAATACTGTTCCTCGCGTTCCCCTAATTAAAAGCTAACATAAGCAGTAGCATTTACAAATAACAGCATATCAAAAAGTATGAGACTACAATAAACAAAAAACATAGGCCTACCATTAAAAGCTGTGCTTGCACAGGTTCTGCGCAATCCTCTTCAATAATATCCTCTGCTTCTCAATCGGGCTCAAACTGATAAGCGATATTAACGACGCCGTTCTTTACAATACAACCGGAGCACATGTTGCTGAGGTGAGGGCCGGGACGATTAGACACGCACTAGAGGCGGTTTAGCCAATCACAACACACTGGACTAGCTAACCAATCAGAGCCCATCGCCTATTTCTGAGGGAGGGGCTTCATAAAAGAAGGAAATGATCCATGCATTTCTCAGAGAAGGGACAGAGCGGTGTGGAATAAAGGTAAATTATGTGAAAAATAAAGCATTAACACATGTTAGACTGCACCCCATAAACAATCAAGCCTAGAAAAAAGCCAGTGAACCACCCCTTTAAGACATTCTGAGTGGTTTTCAGTGTGTTGCTATGCGATCATGCAGTAATGTGTTGCTATGTAACCTTTTCTTAACCTTTTCTAAGTGGTTTCTAGGGTGTTACTAGGGCATACTGGGTGTTGCTAGGTTGTAAATGTGTTCTGTGTTTAGTTAAAACATTTTATTTTGTAATTATTATAAATATACATGAATTTTTATGATTTATTTCATCTTTTTAGCAACCGTTTTATTTTCTGATTGCTGTTATTTTATAATGATTTATTTTAATTTAACATTTTTATGATTTAATTCATTATTAGCTTTTCATTAAACTCATAAATCCCCTGCAGTTCCTTCACAAACCCCAGTTATGTTTAATGCACTTCCTGTAGTTAATAACAACAAATTGAATATATTTTCTTTCTCTTTGTATTTTTATATCAATATGGTACAAGAATATCCTATTTAAATCAATGTGATGAACAAGTTAGATCAGAAGTAATCTAAAAGTAGTCTGATTACATTACCTAAAATGTGCAATGTAATGATTAAATTACTAACTACAATTTTTGCCGTGTAATTTGAAATCAGCTTGTAAGTATTCTACCCAATACTGTTGGTTGTTAACATGTTGCTATATGGATTCTAAGGTGTGGTTGCTGAGGTGGTCTAGGTGGTTGTTTGGGTGTCCTGGGTGAATGCAAATGTGTTCTGGGTGATTTTATGTGTGTGTTGCTGTGCAGTTGCTAGGATGTTCTAGGTGGTTGCTACAGTACATTGCCTTTATCTAGTCTTTTGAGCTTTTTTAGCAGCAGTCTTGCTTAAAATATATCATAATTCGGGCTAAAACCACTTTGCAAGTCTGAATGTGCAATGATTGTACTGTCATGAAGAGTAATAAGTGTTCACTTTCAGCCACAAGTTTAGCTCCAAATTGTTGGTGGAATACACAGTAACAGTGGTCCTGTTGTTTCTCTCTCTAGAGTCCTTAATGACTTTAATAACTTCAGAGTCTCACATTTTCCCAGTTGGATCCTGTTGGCACGACTCTGGAGTCTCTCCTGACGTGTTTGTTGCTCTCAAATGAATTGTGACCGTCTCTTTCTGCCTCAGTCATCCATCTCGCACTCCTCCTCCTCCATCTTCTGTTCGGTTTGTCCTCACAGAGATGTTTAATTAGAAAGCCTGTGTCTTGACTCTAGCAGCCTGGCAGTCATTGAAGCAGTTCGTCTGTCCTTGCCGTCACACCTAACATTTCAACTACGAGTGTTTTCTATTCTCGGCTCTCTGAAGAAGAAGGAAAAGCATGTCATGTCATCTCATCCCTCTTGTGATTTCCATCAATAAAGGGCTTCACAAGTTTCTCTTATTCAGTTCTATTTTTGTATTTTGTGAATGATCACAGCTGGCTTTTGTGGATGCAGTCGAGTCTTAGGGGGTGATTTTGTCGACGCGAAGCCGGTCGTGTGAATGTGTCCGTTTTATATCATTTGAGACGTTCTTCTCTCAACCCTCTGAGAACAGACTTATTAAAAACCAAGCAAAGTCCAGTTATTTTCTTTACAGTGCCTGGGTTTTTATGTTACTGAGCCAGACTGACAGAGGAATACTAGTACAAAGAAATTGAACATCTTTTCAAAAAAGTTTCCAGCCTCCAGTGCAGGGAAGATTTATCGCGCCACTGATACGAGGCAAGGACATTTGCTGTTTCTACCGGAGAGAAATCAATTTCTGAAAGAGCGTTCGCGCTGCACATTAATCCAGCCTGATATGGACCTCATTTTGTTTCCTTTTTGACTTGGCTAATGTTTTACTTCATGCTCAGATTTGCCTTTTTTATGCCTCACTAGCTAGCAAGTCCTTCTATAGTTGTTTTTTAAAAAGATAATTCTATTAAATCAGTGCTGTATTAAATTTGCATATAAAGTTAAAGATGCTTGTAAAAGAGGAAGTTTAAAATGGTTATCATTTGCTCTTCCTTATGTCATTCCAAACCTGTGTGACCTTTTCGTCTGTGGATCACAATTGAAGGTGTTTTGAAGATTGCTCTTAGCTGAACTTTTACATGCAATTGCAATAAATGAGGACTGCTTCAAAGGCCATGAAATCACAAAAAAATTCAGTAAAGTATTTATATGACTTGTGCACCACGGTCCAAGTTTACTGAAGTCGTAGCTTTTTGTGAGAAACCGCTAAAATCATAATCCAGATCAGTCCAATTCGTGTGTGAATCATTCTGACTGGGTTTTGAACTGAATCATTTGATTTATCGGAAAGATCTGATTCAAAAGAATGAATCGTTCACTATTCAGCTAAGCAGAGCGGTGACAGACAGATAAGTGAATTTCACTTAAATTTGGTTTCTTTCTCACACAAAGTTACTTCAAGAGGTTTGGAACATAGTGTACAAGTCTTGTGAACTACTTTTTAGAGACTTTTATGGTGCTTTTAAGTCTATTTTAAGGCTTAAAAGCTCTAGTTCTCATTCATTGTAGTTGCATGGAAAAAAAGCAACCAAATGCATTCTTAAAAATGTCTCCTTTTGTGTTCCACTAAAGAAAAAGTTTTGGAAAGACACAAATGTGAATAAATGAAGACAAAATTTAGATTTTGAGGTGAACTATACTTCCAATTTTGGTTGTTTTTATCTCTTCACACATAAAAGGGGCATTCACACAACATGCGGCAATGAATGAACAGTGCAGCAGAACTTGCGTGTGAATGATTGCAAGTGTAGTTTAACAGACAAGGAGAGATGAGCTCTTGAGCACACACATAATCATTCACGCATCCACCCAGACCTTACTGGAAAGCAGCCTTTTAGCATTTTCTTTGATTAGAAGACAAATAATAGGACAGACACAATTCTTGGCCATTGCTAATGAATCACAGGAAAAA